CTTGAAAGCTTATCTTTTTCACCAATAGAAGTTGGTCCAATAAAAGATATTACCTCACCCAGATTGTCTCTTGACATTTTTCTTATTTGTTTTGGTTTATAAGGTCAGTTATGTAGTGAATGCCCCTCTTGTCCTTGTTAGGAATTTTTAAAGATATATAGAATTAACCCTTTTTAAGGAAAAATTAGCATCAGGTAATTCTAGCTTCGCTTGCTCTCGTCATCAGTTCTCCAGCTTTCTCAGATGTTCATTGTTAGCGCTCTAGAAATATACTAAACAACATGGCACTGGCAATGATGGCATTGGAAGGTTTGGCTAAAGAAAATTCATAGTTCTTCTGTGGTAACTACTAAACTGATGATATGAAGTTCCACTTTGTAGCTCTACTACAAATACTAGAAAAAATGGCTGTGCTAACCCCTGGTGAAATGGCATTTATAACACTGTCTTGAGTACCACGGTATCTTCACTTGTAGCCAAACATCTAACTCCTTAGACTCCCATAAGAAGTCTCCAGTGGTTTTATGAACTACAGGGTTCCTGTTGTTTTGATCCAGGAACATACTGTGAACTACCTTCCTTATTTCAGCAAAATCTTGCATTAGCAGAACTGGGATTTCTTTGCTGAAAACCATCTGGAAATTCCTTTCTTCCCATGAGCCATCTGTGCTGGCCTCTTTATCATGAACATAAATGTTCAAACTCTTTTTCTTTATATCTTTAATTTAAAATATTCCCTTTGCTTGTCACATTTGGTTGAGCTGCCTTGACTCGAAATATTTCCTAGCCTTGGATTTTGTTGTGCACTGATTTTTCTGGACAGTTCTCCTTTGTCTGCTAGAAGAATATCCTATAACGGGGTGAACTTAGACCATTGTCCCTCCCTTTTCCCCCTCCCCCCCCCCCACTCTTTTCCCAACTCATAAATGTAGTAGCATGAGAGAGGGATATTAATGAAGTACCGACCTAGCCATCGCCCTTGGAATTGTGAATCTAGCATCAAGTCCAAAGTGAAATTAGTCTCAGCTCAGTGGCTAATGGACTTTGGTTCATGTCGTGTAATGCAACACATAATTCAGTAGAGTACACACTGGCATGATTGATGCTCTCTCTGTTTCTGCAGAACAACACAGAAGCGGAATCGCCATTAATTTTTTAAAAATATAAATATTCATTAAATATTTATAACTTAATATAGCAGCGCCTTCATGGCTTGTTTGCTTCGTTTTAGTTGTGCCGTTCCTTTTTTAGCTTGTTATTTGGGGCCATAGTCCTTCAAAGTACTAAGTGAAATGAGTTTTGCAATCTCAGTTCAATCCTCAGTTGTAGCAGAGTTCACTTTCCATAAAGGTAGCAGAATAATTAGCACAATTACAAGTCGCTGCTCACCAAAGGCTTAAATCTGTGTTTCTATGGAGACTAAACTTTGACCCAAAGAAACACTCAGCATGTTTTATGTGCTTTGCAATTATTGCAATCTGTATTTTTTTTTTTAATCATTTTAAATGTAAGTGACCAGATATTTTTATCCAAGGGATCTCCCAGGTCATTTGTTTTTAGGAACATAATCAATAAAAATGAACATTAATTGGATGCTTATAATAAAATTTCTCCCATTGAGATTCCAGTTTCCTTGATTAACATGTTTTTTCACATAGACTCCCTCATTTTACTCACTTCTGAGAAAATCCAGATACTGTAATTTTAAATGGAAGGCTATGGCATGTTTTTGAATTCTTTCAGAAAACAAAACTCCATTTTCTTTACTTAAGAAACTCACACAGAGTTGGGTACATATAGCAGTAAAAATGGAAAATGAGAAATTAAGATGGCTTATCACTTTTCAGACTATGCTATAGAATTAATATATAAATAAACAAAATTAAAATAATACACTTACTGTTTTGCATAGCCTGAAAAGTGATAAACCAACTTTTAATTTCTGATTGTCCATTTATGTATATATTTGTATGGGGGTGGGGAAGTAGTGGCACATTGCAATTTCCATCCACAAGCCAAGCTCTGTCTACTTGGGACACCAAAATGATTTGTGTCAGTAGATTGTGCAGATGTTTGAAATAGGGTCATGCATGCTCTATTGTGCTTTGCTAGCATCTTCTCTGGTAAGGTTTGGATGTTCTCATGGCTAATGCCAGATAAAGATGTAAGTGTGATAGGGATGTGCCTAAGGGCTTGTCTAAATACAGGTTGTACTGCTTTACCAGTGCAGTTAGAGGTACACCTGTCTCCCCTTCCCCTCCTCCTACCCCTCCCTCCCCCCGCCTACTATGAATGCAATTATACTTAGGGCTCTACCAAATTCATGGCCGTGAAAAATCTCCCCTGTGATATCTGGCTATTGTAGGGGAGAGGCAGGGCTAGGGGTGCCCCACTTGGGGGCTCCTACCATGAGCCGGGCTCCGGCTGCTAGTCCCCTCTGGGCTGGGGAGGGACAGGACTTTCTCTTTCCCTGCAGCGGCCCCCACCCCTCCCCTACTGTGGCATGGGGAGGTTCCCGGAGGTGAGTCTAATCCAGCCCTGGGAGTATCTCTTCCCCTGGCCCTCTCGGGACTAGCAGCAGGAGCCCAGCACATGGGGGCGCCCCAACCGGGAGCTCCTACCAGCCCTGCCGCTCCCCGGCTCCAAACCCAGAGCTTGAGGTTTAAAGGGGCCATGGGCTGGCGGGGGGGGAGAGAGGGGACCACAGCACCCCCCAACCATGGGCCCCGGCCAGCCCTGTCCCCCCGCAAAAGTGATGACCTCCCACATGTCCTGTGTTCTACCTCTCCCCCGACACACACAGTAGCTTTGTGACCCCCCACGACACTTTTTTGAGTTGGGACCCACATGGTTACAACACATGAAATTTCAGATGTAAACATCTGAAACCGTGAAATTGACGATTTTTAAAATCCTATGACTGGGAAATTGACCAAAAAGGACTGTGAATTTGGTAGGGCCCTAATTATACTGGTATAAATGTGCTTATACTAGTATAACTTATTCCCCTTCGGTAAGAGGAATACGCTATAACAATATAACTGCATCTACACTAGGGGTTGTATCGGTATTACTGTGGGTAAAAAAATCACATCCCCTAACAGACATATTTATACTGATACAAAAGCTGTCTGTAGACCAGGCCTGAGGCCCCAACTCCATTCATGGTGATGTCAAACCCTAAGCATTAATTTTAAAAGAAATGTTTATAGCCTTTCTCGTTGTGGAGAAAGTGAACCTTCAACGTTCGGTCATGGTTTGGTCACTGAAATAGTTAACATTGACTTTTAATTGTACTCAGTGGGCACTTGAGTTAACACTTCATGGAGATGAAATGGGCAGCTTACACTTCTTCAAGCTATTGTTCCGGTCTCTCTGTGAACTCCTCAAACATCATTGCATTATGCCATATCTACACTACGGTCATAGTGTAGACACTTCCTACAGTTTTCCCATTGCTGTAGTTAATCCACCTCCCTGAGTGGCATCTACACTGGGGGGTAGGTCAGCTTAACCATAGCACTCAGCAGTGTGAATTTTTCTCACCCCTTAACAATGTAGCTAGGTCTACACTAAAAAAGTTAGATTGACCCATTTATGTCTCTCATGGGTGTGAAAAATCTACACCTGTGAACGATGTAGATAAACCAACCTAATCCCTGGCGCAGAGAACACTAAATCGATGGAAAAATTCTTCCATCTTCTAGGTACTGCTTCTCAGGAGGTAGATTAACTACAGCGACAGGAAAACCCCTACTGTTGCTGTAGCGCAGAGGTCGGCAACGTTTGGCACGCGGCTCGCCAGGGTAAGCACCCTAGCGGGCCAGGCCAGTTTATTTACCTGCTGACGCGGCAGGTTCGGCCGATCGCGGCCCCCACTCGCCGCAGTTCGCCGTCCCAGGCCAATGGGGGCGGCAGGAAGCAGCGCGGGCGAGGGATGTGTTGGCCGCGTCAGCAGGTAAATAAACTGGCCCGGCCCGCCAGGGTGCTTACCCTGGCGAGCCGCGTGCCAAACGTTGCCGACCCCTGCTGTAGCGAGTGGCTATGCTGAAGCACTCTAGTGGTGCAGATGCAGCTGTGCTGCTGTAGTGGTTTAAGTATAGACATAGCCTAATTTTTAAGTGAAGACCAGGCCTAACATTCACTTAACATAAAGGCTCTCTTTGCAGCCTCGTGGGCTAGAGGCTAATTTTTTTTTTTTTTTTTTTTTTTTTTTTTATTAAATTTTAGAATCTGGAGGACAAAGGGACTCCCTCAAAAGAATACAGTAAAAAAAAAAATGCTAACCTGGCCTAAGCCAGGTCCAGTTTGTCCCCTGACCTCTTTATGTGGTGGAGTATAACCATTTGGCATCTGGTATGCAGCAACAGCTTTGAAATCGTTAAATTTTCCTCAGTCCTTTGCCAACCTCCAGGAATTGCAGGATGGAAATATGCCAAGGAAGTCAAAACTATCTCCGGTATTACTAAAGTGCTGGTCACCTGGGTATATAAGTGGTGATGCAACTGAATTTTTGATATTGCCGTTGTTTCTGTCTGTACGTTGGCAATTGCCTTAACGTTGAGTCAGGCAAAACTTCTTAAAGTTTTTCATGAAATACTGCATGAACAATAAATGTCAGGCAACCTATTAAATAGTTGTAAATTACATTTGGGAAAAAGAAACTATATGCAGAAAAATCTTTGTGTGTGTTTCTTTCAGTTCATGCAAAGGGGATTGGATTCAGAAACCAAAAAACAACTAGAAGAGGAGGAAAAGAAGATAATCAGTGAAGAGCACTGGTATCTGGATTTACCAGAACTCAAGGAAAAGGAGTAAGTTTGTCATATTTTTTCATTACGTATATCTAGACCAGGGGTCGGCAACGTTTGGCACGCGGCTCGCCAGGGTAAGCACCCGGGCGGGCTGGGCTAGTTTATTTACCTGCTGACCTGGCAGGTTCGGCCGATCGCGGCCCCCACTGGCCGCGGTTCGCCGTCCCGGGCCAATGGGGGTGGCGGGAAGCTGCGGCCAGCACATCCCTCGACCGCGCCGCTTCTCGCCGCCCCCATTGGCCCGGGATGGCGAACCGCAGCGAGTGAGGGCCGTGATCGGCCGAACCTGCCGTGTCAGCAGGTAAATAAACTGGCCTGGCCCGCCAGGTGCTTACCCTGACGAGCCGCGTGCCAAACGTTGCCAACCCCTGATCTAGACTATCTGGGAGGCAAAGCAAAGTGTTGTGTATTAATCCTTTTCTGTCCCAGAAACACCTCAAGAATAATAGTAACTCTTAGTGACCAGTAACATTAGTAAAATAGATTGGTAGGTGTAGCATACTTATGCGGCATTTTATTCTTAGGAACCACTCTCAAGGTTTATAAGTCCAGAGTTTGACCTACTTCCCCTTTTTTCATCTGTATGTTTTCCTAGTATCAATGTAATTTTCTTTTTAGTGACCAGGTGATTTAATGCTGCTTTTGCTTTTTTTTTTTTTTTTTTTTAAATGGCTGAAACCTTGTTAATTAGACCCCAATCTTGCAATCAAGTCCACGAGAGAGAATCTGGCTCCTGCATGGAGCTCCACTGATTTCATTAAGGTTTCATGCAGGCACAGGGGTCAATCCAAGAATATCCAGTTGCAGAATCCCTAATGGAGATGCAACAATAAGGAAAACATATTCTAGTAAGGGCACAAACTTCCATTCCTGCCTTCTGAAGAGGTGCTATGAACAATAAGAAAACTATTTTAAAAATGTTTATTTTGTCCTTTAAAAGAGAGACATTTTTTAACAAGAGGGAGTCTCTTCTTAACATCTGGAGTTCAGAGAATTAATTACATGTGATTAAAGTGAATAAGGTTACTGATATTTAGTATTTTACATGTGCAGGGTGGGGATGAGGAGGTGGAACACTTCTGCAGTACACGTATGTGATCATTCCTGAGGGCGGATTTCTTTTTGTTTCTTGTTTTGTTCATTAAAAGAGAAAAGAAAACAATCTTTGAAGAGAGAACCACACGGTTTTATTTCCTACCAGTCTCTACTAAGGCCAGCTCTACACTAGAAATTTGCTGGTATAAAAATGTCACCCGGGATGTGAGGTTTTGTGTGTTTGTGTTTTCTGAGGGGTTTTGTTTGTGTTTTTTTGGTTGGATGGGTTTTTCAGGTCTGGCTGGGCAGGGGGCGGCGGCAACATTTTGTATACCAGCAAACTTTTTCAAACATAGATCTGGCGTAAGACACTTAATTTTTTTGGTTTTGCTTTTTATTGCCTTTGGTTATTGTGACTATGTTAAGACACGCTGTTCAGACAAATACTTGGTTTTGTTTGTTGTGCAGGAGTTTTATAATAGAAGAGAGAAGCTTTATGCCATGTGAAGACCTACTTTATGGCAGAATGTCCTTTAAAGGGTTCAATCCAGAAATTGAGGTACTGTCAAATGTTCTACTTCTGTTAGGGTCAAGGAGTGTATGTACCCCACACTGGACCAGCAACCAAAGGGTTAATACAGGCACGGCCAGCCACTGCTGTTTGGAAGCCTCACAGCAGCTGGGAGGGTTAAAAGGGCTGGGAAGCAGATGGGTGGAGTGGCTACCAGAGGAGTGAGCAGGCTGGAGAAAGGAGTTCACGCCAGCAAGCTACTAAGGAGCTGCCCAGAGGCAACAGCCCAGGAGGGGATGAACGGACCAATAGGCTGGAGAGCCTGCAGAGACCCAGGGGAAGGTGGGAAGAAGCTCAAGGCACTGTCAGAGTTGAAGAACCCTGATCCTGCTTACCTAACTTGAGGCTCCTGAGCTGGAACCTGGTGGAGTGGGTGGGGAGTGAAGAAAGAGTTTTCAGTCCCCTGGGCACCAGGAATAGACTGACAGCCCCACTGGGGGCTGCACTACGCTTGGCCAGAGGGGGTGGCACCAATGCACCGCCCCAGTTAGCAACTAAGAAAAACTATAAATTGGAATTAGGTCTCAGCGTGACTTCCACTGAAATCAAGAAGTGTCTTTCTGTTGACTTCAGTGAGAGTTAACTGAGCTTTATAGACTTTGTAGCACAAAGTGGATTATTGCCTAAATGTGTGCAATCTTCGTGCTTCTAATTTGAGCTCCGCTAGGTAGGATGAAAATGGTAATTTCCACCTCAACTCCCCGTCTTCCTCCTATTCAGCATTCCCATTGCTGTTCAGCAAAATCAGCTGCTCTTCTAACTGGATTGTTGATACTCGGTCATTAATTCATGTGTTGATACGCTCTCTCTCTGTGCGCACACTTGTTGTTTTCAACTTTTAGAAGTAGAGCTGTTTGATTGCAGGAATTTGAAAATAAATTAAAATGCAGGCAAAGCATACTGAAGGATTTTATGAAATGTTTGCAATTCTGTACTGAAAATACAACGTTATAGGGAGTATTTACTCTTGATCACACTGCCTCAGTAAGAGCCTAGGTACTGGATTGGTACTTAAGAGACTTGTTCCTGCTTCTGCCTTTCATTTGCTCTGTGACCTTGGTCCGAGTCTCTCTACTTCTCTGTGCCTGATTTATCCAGCTGTGAAATGAGGTCCCTAATAATTAAAAAAAAAAAAATTGTGTATGAAAAGTGGTATATTCACTTGTGTTGTGTATGTTTGATCCATTTGAACAAATGGAGCCTTTCACCTCTGAGGTACTTTTACTCAAGTCAAGAGGGATGAAATCTGTCTGGCACTATGAAATGAGTCTTTCCAGTCCCAGATTGACACATGTCCATGTCACACACTAGCATCCATTGGCACCCATGTTGTTTATCTCAGCTGAATGAGTGTGGAGGCTGAATTCCCATCCTCCACTGAGAGGTGGCTCCAGATTAGCATTAAGACATACAAGCAGGTGATATGGAGGAGTTCATTTTGTTTGCTGGTCCTCTGTCAATGCAGTGCTTTCTGCAGGCGCTGTCTTAAATAAAATGTATTTCCACATTGTGATTCAATGTGATTGTGATTCAAGCCAAGATTTTGGAAATAAATAAAATGCTATTTCTGGTAAATATCTGGCATTTTCCCCCCATATGTCAACAGCTCAATAGTTCCTATACATGATATGTGATTCCTATACATTTTCCTCCCCTCAAAGAACAAAGCCTCCATGCTCCATGCACTGCTCAGCAAAACAACTGCCCAATCTCACTGCTCTCCCACTTTTCTTCCAGTCTGGATCTTCAGTTATCATATTGCTCCTTAAATTAGGGGCCAAACTTGCAAACTCTCAGCCCTGTTGACTGGAAACTACTCATGTGAATAAGGTCTTGCAGAATCATGCCTTTAAAATAAAAACTCTTTCGAGCAGAGGTGTCTTTAACTTCTCTTCAACATCACACATGTCTATGGTGCTATAATAGTAACAACAACACTGCCATTAATCTGTGTCTCGCAGCTAAATAACTGCCTAAGATGAAAAGTTACTGATGCTGAATTCAGATCTAATGTGATTTAGGGGGAATTATGATTACTGTCTCACCAGGGTTGGCATTTCACTGGCTTTTTTTTAATGCAAGTAGTATTTTATTGTAAAGCTTTTCAGACAGATTCTCCCTGCTGAATAAACATTTTCAAGTTGCTTAGTTCCTAAATTTGACCCTCCCTTAAGATCTGGGAATTATATACACTAGATTATACTTGACAATGAAAAAACAGATCTGCTACATAACTTTTTAAAAAGATTTATCCACAGTTTTTGTAGAACCTACGATCGATAGTGCATTGTCACTTGAGTGCCAACAATTGTAAAGAGTGCTAAGAAAACCTAGTCCCAGATGCCAGGCACACATGCTGGTGTGCAAACAAGGAAGGAACAAAAAATAGGTTATGTTTGTATTAGAACAATTTTAAGATGCAGGAAAATTATAACAAAACTCATTATTTTAAGTTTTGTAAGGGCTGAGTCATGAGCTGTTTTCAGGGCTATGCTGGGTTGTATGGGGACCTAAGACACTCCCCTACGCAAGCTATCTGAATCACTGTGCAGTGGTGTAACAGAGGAGGAACTAAGCTCCACCAGATATTGCACTGGTGCAAATCACCATCACTACCAGCCCGTGGAGCAAGGGGGAAGCAGCCAGTCACAGTTCATTCCCTTGTCTTCTCGCAGCAAAGCACGGCTGCGTGCTCCCTTTTATTCACGGTTCATGGTAAATCCATGATCTAGCCCTAAGTTTATACTACAAACAAAGGAAAGCCGCTTCAGTTAAAACTCGGGGGAAAGAGTCCCGCTTGTCCGTTTTAAAAATGAGTTTCTTATCAGTAATATCTATATAATTGAAATTCTGTGAAAGAGTTAACTGTAAACTGATTTCCCATTTCATTTTCAGAAGTTAATGATCCAAATGAACTCTAGGTACAAGAAAGAAGAAATTGAAGCAGATGATACAGCCGAGGCTGACGTATCAGATGAAGAAATGGCCAGAAGGTAATTTATGTTTTATGGCATAGTTAAAATTACCAAGATGATGTGTTGCTGCACTCTCATCAGAGTGTTTATAAAAGAGCAAACTTTTGTGTTGTGCACAAGATTTTTTTAAATAAGAATTTTGAAGAATGTGTTCAGTGGAATAGCTTCATTACGTCCTAGGGAAATAACTTGGGGCCATTTTCTACCCTCTGCTACACCTTTGTACTCTCTACTCTGTCACTCTGTACCACATTGCGTGACAGAAGGCAAAATTGGCCCCTTAATACTCTCATATCTTGATACAGGCAGTAGCTGTGTCTCTTAACAGAGTGCTGTAAGAGGAGTGGCATTGGCAGTCCTCTGTTGCACCACAGATTCGTATTGCTGATAGGATTTATGACTTGCTTTGATTTTATGAATAATAGTGATTTGTGTCAAAGTCCTGTGGCACCTTATAGACTAACAGACGTATTGGAGCATGAGCTTTCGTGGGTGAATGCATGCATCTGACACAGTGGGTATTCACCCACGAAAGCTCATGCTCCAATACGTCTGTTAGTTTATAAGGTGCCACAGGACTCTTTGCTGCTTTTACAGATCCAGACTAACATGGCTACCCCTATACTTGACAGTGATTTGTGTATTAATTTAAATATCTTAACAGATATGAAACCTTAGTGGGAACTATCGGGAAGAAATTCTTGAAAAAGAGAGACCAGCGTGTGCTACAGGATGAAGATGAGAACAGTAACATGACACCTAGCAAAGCTAAGAAAATGTTCTTAAAACCCCAGGATTGATGTGAACTGCACAATTGAAGCTAATAGAAATGTTATCTACAGGGTAGAGTAACATGAACTGGGCAGTGTTTATTTTCCACCAAATAATGTAAGATATGTTTGTAAATCTAAGTCTATTCTGATTGAAATTTCTGCTGTCCACATGACAAACATACTTTCAAAGTGGATGCGTATATAATGGATGTCATACATCCTTTCCCGTCTGAGCAAGTTGTACTGACCACGGGGCTCTAAGCCAATTAGCTGTGTCAATGTTGTGCATAAGTAAGATGGCTATCCCGTGTGTTTGAGAGCAACAATCTTTACATTTTATGATGGTGATTGAACGCAAGTATTTCAACTAAAGATGAGTTATGGCCAATCTTATAAAGCAATTCTGCTTTCAGTGCTTTTTTTTACTGTATAAATTGAAACCCCTTACACTTTTTAAATTGAAAGAAATAGTCTGCAGCAACTTACATGTTTCTTTAACAATTCTAAAATTAAGTTGAAAAAGGAACAGAGAGATTAAATCCGTTTAGTTGAATTTTATTTTTTTATAAAATCTATTTAAAGAGAGGTTTTTGTAATAGAAGCCATTTTTTTTTCTAGAATAAGCTAAATATTTATATTGGGTGATGTTTTCACTTTGACACTTATGAATCATGATCTGCTCAATCTCTCACCTCCAAAAATTTTTTTGGATGTTCCTTTGGTTGTGGTTTTCTTTTCTGGCAAAAAATTTCCAATCTTATAAACAAGATCTGTGATAGCAGGATAGTGACCGCTTCAGAAACACATCTTAAAGCTGAATAAAAACTTTTAAAAGACTTTTGTGTCTGATTATTGTGGTTTAGGTAATATAATATAAACACTGAAACTTAACATAGCCTGTGAGATGTTTAGTGCATTGTTTGATAGTGTTTAGATTCAGGCCCAGATTTTTAAATGTATTTAGACATTAATGCTCTCAGCATTGCAATACCAACTGATTTAGGAGCCTAAATCTAATTTTCAAAAGGGCTTTAGAGATTGACAGTCAATGGGATTTAGGCTCCTAAATGCCTACATCCCTTTTGAGAATGAAATTTAGGATCCTAAATCAATTAAGCATTGCAACTCTGAGCACAGCAACACCTCAATACCTTTAAAAAACTGGGCCTTAAGGACATGCCCCAAAATATTAGTTGAGTTGAAATGCCTTTTCTAGTTAGAAAGTAATGAAGCAGTTTGAAGCATTGTTGCACAGAGAGACAGTACTGGCCTTCCATCAATTGCTGCTCTGGGCATGTTGAAATTTGTCGTCAGCATGTGTCAGATCTAAAATTATAGCAGTTTTCTGTATCCCAAACTTCAGCAAGAAATATGCTCTCTGTTATTTTATTTCCCTGGCTAGTTGTCCAGGTTGTCGTCCAGGATGCTGGCTCTCTCGAGAAAGGAGGGATTGGAGGAGTTTGCTAAATTAAAGCAAGTAGTGGCAGTTCCATCACGGACACGAGTCGTTGGTTTTTTTTTCTCTCTTCTTTTTGGAACAGCTCAGTGAAGCAAGACACGAAACTCAATTATATAAAGTAAGAGGCCGTACATCTACAGTAGTTTGCATGTATGATATATGGACTGTAATCCATATATCAAAAGCACCTAGTTAGATATTCAAGATGGATCACACATGGAAAGAGAAATACACTTTTAACCTAGTAAGGGAGCTTCATAAAGGTGGAAAGTCTATGATTCATGATCTCATATAGGTTTTCAGAGCTAATTAAATGCTACTGGTTCAATTACTTAAAACTTGACTATATATAATCGTCAATTGAACAAAAGTTAATGATCGCAAGACATTTTTCTTCCCAAATGTGACCTGAACTACGAAGTGATTTATTGTTGCTCATCACAAGAAAAACTCAGAATATATCCCATTATTCTTTCTTGCTTATTACTAGGAAATGACTACCCTGTTATATGAATAAATTTCTTTGGTGATGGCCGGATTTCTGAATAATAGTGCTAGGTATTTTGGGGAAACTATATTCTAGTGAGACACTAGTGACCACTAGATGTCAGTAAAATTTTGCTTGGGCTTCAGGATTCTTGAACAGATGACATTCTGTTGCTTTCACATAATCTTGTCTGAAAGTTCCTTTGATTGAATAATTATTTGAGGCATGCATATAATAAAAAGAGCATTAAACTTTACACAGAGGCTTCTCTGCACAGAGAATGTATGCAGAGAGGACACCTTCTGTGTCCTTCATTCCAAGGCAGAATAGCTGCATGTGATTGGGAGAAAAACAAAAACAGCTCTGTAGTCAAATATCTCTGAGTCCTGGAGGGTACTCTGCATTGCATGTGTTTGTGTGGAAGGTTTTGAAGGTGAAGTGACACGAATTTCAACAGCTTCACAGAAAACTTACATTCTATTACTGGAGGGTTATAAGAAAATGCGTAACCCTGCTGCAATTATTAGCAGTGTATAATCTTTAAAGGTTCGTACCCTACTGGCCAGAAGTTTGATTGAACAGCTTTCAATGATGGCTAGATGAACTCTTCAAATGCAACTTTAAAAGCAGCTGCTGAGGTTAGGGCAACCTACTTATTCACTCAGCTATCTTGGAGCGTCAACTGTATTGTAGAATCAGCAAAATATAAGTGCCTAGTAGGAGTTGCAAAAGTGCCTAGATGCTTGTGAAAATCCCAGTAGGTATCTCTCTGGTGCCTATCTGCATCTTTAAGTGCCTAGATATCTTTAAAAATCTGATCCTAGGCTCCTAAGTCATCTAGGTGTGTTACAGAATTTTGCTATACATAGTTCCTTACTATAACTAGACCACTATGGAGGCTTAAGTGTAGACGTGAAATGTTCATGATGCAAATCTACATTTAATCAAGCATTCTTGCCTTTGTTACAAACTCAAAAATAGACCCATTGTTGTGGACAGTTTTGTTAAGCTGCAGTTTTTAAAGCATAAATGGACCTGTTTCTCAATCAAAAAGGACCCCTTTTTGATTGAAGATGTAATTTGGGTTTTAGAATGAGCATTTTTGGTTTGGAAGTAGCCATTTTCTCAAGCTTGCAAATAAAGCAAAGTTTGGAGGGGGGAGGTGCATAAAACAGCAGAATTCTTTGTGCAAATGGTGTGAAATGAATAATCTGTGAGTTTGGCACAACTCTGACCAAGAATGAGAGCAAGGGGTGATTGTTGCAGTCTACAGCAGCTGGCATTCATGTGCTCATTGATAGCTCATAGCAGTAAGAATAGTTTAAACTTTGTCTTCAGACATCTAGAACTATTTGTCCTGTCCTCTTTGAGAGTGACCTTTTAGGTCCAGATTCATCATCTGTCTAATACTTCATTGCACAAGGAAAGCACATATCATTAGCCATCATCACTCTTCCTGAAGTGTCCTATTTGAGGTACGCTGGCTGAGAGGAGCCAGAGAAGGAATTCAGGAAAACTACAAAATTAGTTGGCAAGTCATCAGTTTCTTCTGCTGCTTAGTGTTGTTAACAAAGAAACTGAGGCAGGAAACGATTTTGTTTTTATTCACCCACTGTTTGGATGCGCTAGTCAGTCAATGCATCCAGCATTGTTGAGAATGGATTAACAGCTTATCTAGCATGCTGTGAATAATTAAATTGTACTTATCGGGATCCAATAATAAAAACACAAGTTGGCTTATTTTATATTATATCTCCTCCCCCCCACCCCTGAAGAGGCATTAAAACGTGGTGGTTTCCTTTTATGCTTGCTAGCTGTTGCCTACGCAGTTTGATTAAATGAAACTTGCAAGAGAAAATAACTCTCAAAGATGATTAACTTAAATGATTTATCTGAAATAATAATGCAACAATTGAGCTAGTTCTCTCTTTCCTCTCTGTGGTGCCAGTTGGGTTGAAATTTTTACTACGGCTGTAGTTGCAAATGCTGGGAATAGATGAGGACTGCACAATTTCCCTTCCCTTCACTTCTTCCTATCTTGTCTCTTTTGATCTAATTGATGCTGGACCTTAAAAGCCATAGGGGCAGAGTCTAGCTGAAGTGAGTGCTCATCCTGTATCTTACCTCCACTGATCCAAGAGCTGATTAAACTTTGTTCCTTGTTGTTTTTTAATTGCTTTTTCCAATGGTGAAATGAAGTTTGAACTGGTTTTCTCCTGTTACTCGTAGTTCTTTTCTGAAAGACACTCCGAATACAATTGTTAATGGATGGTATTTTCCTTTGGGCTTTGGGTATACGTAATGGGGCAGTTAGGCTGAGATTATTCAGAGCCATCTATGGGATTTGAACACCCAGCTCCCATTAATTTTACAATTATTCAGATCTCAGCCTGAAAGCAAAGTTGCCTTGTCTTCCTGTAAATCAAGATACCGTGCTTTCCTAATTCCAGATACATTTTGAACCTGTTGGGATATGGTGTTAGCAGTGTTGGTGCCAGGTGACTTGACAACAGGTTGCAGCTAAAACGCTGCACAATAGTTTGGAGTCTCATTAAACTAGCCTGAAAGAGAGAGAGTCCACTTTAACTTTAAAATGTATTGCAGGGGAAAGGTGTCGGCTGAATTACCCGGTAGACGTAAGATCCCGTGTTTATCAGCATAACAGGAGTATAAGGCCTTGGCTACACTGGCGCTGCACAGCGCTGCAACTTGCTGCGCTCAGGGGTGTGAAAACGCCCCCCCCCCCGAGTGCAGCGCTGTAAAGCGCCAGTGTAATCAGCGCCTGCAGCGCTGCACGCTCGCTCGCAGTGCTGCAAGCTATTTCCCTCGGAGAGGTGGGAGTACTTGCAGCGCTGTGAGAGAGCTCTCGCAGCGCTGGCGGCGCGACTACACTCGGCAGCGCTGTGAATTCTCAAGTGTAGCCAAGGCCAGAATCTCTCCTATGCCTCCTGCCGGATCCTTTTAGGAATTAGTCATTTCTTTCCCTTTTCCTGTGGGAAGGCAGCTATCACAAGGCCTCCCTAATGGTATGAGGCTGTGGTTTGGTGACTCTTATATTTAATACCATTCTTATCTTAGGCCTGGTTATCTGTCTTTCGAGAGGTTTGGGGTACAGTATTCACAGCTAAATAACTACTGTATTTATCAACTCTGAGAGAATCTGCCAGGCTGAAAAACTGATTTTTAGCAGGTGTAAATCAGCAGAGCTCCATTTGACATGACACTGTAAAGCCAGGACCTGGTAACAATTGTCAAGTCTGGGGAAAAATCTCTGTGGGAGAGTTGTTATAAATGACGGTGCAGAGGGTGGGAGGGTTGAGGACTGACCCATGTGGAGCTCTACAGAGAATAGGCCTTTAGTAGACAGCAGGAGCAGTTTGGTGGCAGCAGAACCAGAGGCGCCTATGGAGGCGACACAGGAGGATGGAATAACCAGGATGTCAAAGGCCACATTGAAGCCAACCAGAGAAGGAGCCATTATCAGCATAAAGGAGGCAGTGGTCTGCTACGTAGAAGAGAAGGGTTTCTGTGCTATGGAGTGTGAGCCCCAGATGAAAATTCCTCCCAGCTAAAGAGAAAGTGGCGAGTTTTATTTGAAACACTTAATACTTATCTGATATTTGGGGAATAAAAACTTAATTACAATTGATACTTACAAAGACTTGTTTTCATTTATTTATTTTTAATATATTTTTGTATTTCATGAGAGTTTTTCATAAATCATGTTAGAACAAGGAGGCTATCCCACTGAAAAGAAAATGTCTTGATTCTCTTCTTTAACCTGCTATTGTTAAAAACAGCATGTAAGATTATCATCAGGAAAAACGACTGGAGAGTTATTTTTCTCAGTGGTCTACTCTGTTAACTTTGTTTTGACACTGTTTCCCCTGCACAGTCAGTTTCTCTGTTTTTATGGGTCTTTCACATAGCAACATGACAGAGAGAAACATTTTTAGAATAGGGAACTGCAATTGCAAAACCACAGATATTAGAAGAGGGGACTCATTAGTTAGACAAGGAGTTTCTTTAAATAGACTTGATTCAGTTGGATGCTTTTTATGCTCGTCACCTTGATAACATTCCCAGTTGTATCTGTCTTTAAGGAATTTCAATTTGTGGCCATGTGGAATGGAAGTAGGCACAATAGAGAAACAAGTTTGGGCACCATATTACAATTCATCCTTTAGACAGGATGTGAATTAGTACCACTACAAAAGTATCATAAGAAAAAAATGGACTTACTAAACATAATTAACGTGTGGTTCGTTGTAGTAATCACAGAGAGAAATTGGATAATACTCTGCACTTGTAAGTCTGGGGACCTTAAAGTGCCCTACATACATGAATGAATTATTCCTCCTAACACACCCTGGAGGTGGGGAAGTATATTTTCCCCATCTGTAAAATAGGGATATGGAGTTGAGTGCTTGGTACAGTACTTCTAAATCCACATTTCAGACCTAAATAAGTGGTCTGATCTTCAGGTGTCTAAATTTAAGCAGCCAAGTTTGGAAATGTGATTTCCCTAATGGTCACAGAGCATATATATGT